CAATTTTCTCTTTTTGTTCAATCTTATTGATTTATTCAGCCTTTCATTGGTTCTATGCTCCCTATTTACCGAGCATTGGGTCGTTTCTAATGTGACTTACGAAAATAAAGTCAGTACAAGGCAAAGCAGAGTCAACTCTGGTTTACTCAGTGGAATAAGGCAAATTGACTGGGGATTTGGTGTACGCTACATGCCATTCTCAGGCAAGCTTTTCGGACATTATTATCATTGGTTTGCGTTGTTCCTATGAAGTTTTACGAGAACAAATCATATTTTCATTCCTCTCACAATAATAGAACATGTTTGAAACCTTTTTTTCAGTGCTCAGCGAAATTCAAGACGACGTCAGCTTCTATAGTCGAATACTTTGGATTTTCATTCTTTTCTTTATCGCCGTTGGTATTCTATGGATCTGTGTTGGCATTATAACGTCTCTGCTCTCGTCATTTAATGCACAAGAAAACACGATAGCGGGTCCAATTGGCACATATTTGTGGAGCTCACTGGCGTGTAAGTTTCTGTTCCCTCATTACCAATTTATTTTCTTTATTTTCAATTTTTCAGTACTATCTTTGACCGCTTCTTGCGTCATATTCTACATTCAGTACCACAGCAGCATGCAGGGCGGTCTTCTCACTCCCGAACAGGTTCAGGCTGGTTACTCAACAACAGATCAAGTGAAGTGAGTTACTAAATTTTTCTAAAACCATTTCAAAACCAGCAGCTGCCTCGTCTGGATGTTTCAAGCTTTTTTGACTTTCTTTATAGTTGGTATAGATTGCGTTCCCATCCGACTAACGAGCTTTTCCGATCCCCATTGGTCAGTCTGGGACATACATGGCACAGCCAATCGCAGACTTTAAAATTTTTTTCGTGTTCCAGAAGACCCCTAACAAATTATCGGAAGTAACCAACAGATGCTTGTTTGTGATTCATGAGCTATAAAACAAGGAATGCGTTGGAATGCAATAAACTTATCCAGTGCGCGTAAATTTTATGTGCAAATGTATTCACCGTTTACTTGGAAAAATTCAATTTTCGTTTTAGAAAAACGCTTTACCTGCAAAACTAGCGGTATTTTCAGCAACAGAGTATTTGGCACCTTAGCAAAACTTATGACTTGTAATAAACGAAAATGTTTTGACCAGCTTGCAATCATTTCGTCTACATTTTT